GACCTCGTGGAGAATTTTACTGGGGATTCTTGAACTTGAAAAAAAAACCCAAAAAAAGACAAAAAAAAAGAAATATTTTGGCAGGTTAGTTTACCAACTGGGGCAGGCACGGGGAGCAGGGCTGAGAGGCTGGGGGGGTCCACAGGGCTACACAGAGATACAGCCACGCAAAGACATGCCGAGGCACACACACAAACACATACACACCCCAGGGACACAGAGCAGCACAGACAGACCCAGAGACACGCCTCGGGAACTTGATGGCCCAACTCAGACATGTAGACAGACTTGTAGGTAAACAGAAGACCGAAGTGTGGGGCTACATAAATATGGCCACGGTGAACATGGACGTGGGCAAATGTGGCCACAGTCAGCGTGGACACAGGTGATTGTGGCCAGGGACAAACGTGGGCACATGCATGCGGGGACATGGGGACAGCTCCACACGTGCACGTGGCCACGTGAAAGTGGAGGCAGATTCATCTGGACACACAAATCTAGACACCCAGTCGCGGAGAATCCGAGATGCAACACCCACACAGACCCACAGCGTCCCTCAGGCCCAGGGGCGAGGTCGCTGCCCAGACCCCAGCCCAGTCTGTGGCCCACTTCCTCCAGTGAGGCTGGTGAGCCCCTCCTTCTGGCACTCAGCCCCACTCGCTCCCTGCCCCAGGTTCTCTGCAGAGCTCTCTCCTGGCTCCTCAGTGGTCCCTGCCGCCCTGGAACACAGGCGTGCGCACACAGCGTCCATGCATCCAGACACACGATACCTCGTTCCCCTTTTGGCATCATGGTGGGCCGGAGGCAGCCCCCCCCAACACTTGAGGCCAAAGGACCCCCATCCCTGGGGCTGAGCCTCCCTGGGCCAAGGCCCTGGCCCACAAGGCCGAGGGGGAGGCCAGGCCCTGAGCCTCCACGCGCCAAGGCCTCCCCAGCAGCAAGCACCCGTCACTCCCTGCCAGGCCCGGGGTGGACGGGCCCAGGGGCCCAGCCCCAAGTTCCCTTCCCGTCCACTCGTCACCCTCTTTCAGTTTGTTGGGTTTTTCCGTCTTTCCAGATCAGCGAGGGCAGTGGACGCAGCCTCCATCCCGAGCCCCAGCCTTGGCTTCTGTCTGGACTTTCCATTCCCCTAGTTTTCATTCTTTGTTAAAAAAAAAAAATCCAACAGAAGCCAAAGGCTGGAGCCCCGGGAGCCCTCGCAGCACCCCCACCCCCCGCCCCCCACCGTGGGCCCAGTCAGAGCTGAGAATTGCAAACCCCAGTTTCAGCCTCAGTTGCCCTCCCTCTGGTGTCCCTGCGTTTGGTGTCCAGCCATGGCCCCATCTGACTGCCCAGCTCTCTCTCCCCCACCCCTCCCGGTGTTGTTATTAAACGTCTGTGGAGCTTCTGCTGCAAGGAACAAAAAGAAAAAAAATCAAAAAAGCGACAAAAAACACAAACAGAAGAGAAAAAAAGCGACAAAAAAAAGGAAGAGAGAAAAAAAAACCCACACACACAGAAGAGATTTAAAACAAAAAAGGAAAAAAAACAGACATAAACTGGCACCAGTTAACTTTCTTGTACTTTTTTGCCGAATTGAGCTTCTTGTAGTTTTAACTTATTGCTATGTTAACTATTTATCCTCCTTGTTACCCTGTAAGGACATTTGTGTATATTTCTGTTCCTTCATCCAGTTTGCAAGTTTAAAGGAACCACGATGTTCTCTTTGTTTCTTTAAGTTTTGCCGATACGTGGTTATGCCTAATTTATTTATAAAAGGGGAAGTGGAATCATTAAAGTAATAATAATTATTAATAACAGTAATGAAAGCCGAGCGACGCCCGGGGGGGCATTGTGCTCTGTGGGGCGGTCCCCGCGGCCAGCGACGTCCGGGATCTTAATGGGATTATTTTTGCTCGTCTTGAGAATTTTTTCAGTCCTATTTAGCTGGTGAAACCCTAGCTTGTTCTTGATACACGAACCTATTTATTCTTGTGGTTTTTAAGTCCTCCCTGACCTCCCCGCTCCCCTCCAGCAGGGCAGGCCCCCCAGCGGGCCCATCCCTCTCCCTCTGCTGTTTCCTTGGGGCTTTCTCCCCTCTGCCCTCCGCACGCGGGGACACGTGTCCGCACGTGGGCAGCGTGGCGGAGGCGTCTGTGAGCAATAAGGGCTGGGTTTGTCCCCCACCCTGGGGGCAGCCGGGCTCTGGAGAGGGGGCACCTCCCCACACCCCCTCACAGACCTGGGCCCCCCGCAACCCCCCAGACTGAGAGGGGACTTCTTTTTCTAAAACACAGAACTCAGCCCAGCCAGCCAGGCCCCCTTCCTGGAGGCCAGCCCCTCACCCCGGGGAGGGGGGGCCTGGGGTCTTCCACATCCCTTGGGGGGGACAGGGGCAGGGCCTATGGGGAAGGGGCTCAGCCCCTCCAGCCCTCCCTTCATCCTGTTATTTATTTGGATGGTTTCAAATCATGACAGAGTCCATGTTGGAGGTGATAAAGAACTGTTAAAAAAAAAAAAGAACAAAAAAAAAAACAAAACCCAAAACCCAACAAGAACACTTTGCGTTGAGTTTAGACTATTTATTACCGGGATTCCAGGCCTGGCCGCGGTAACAGACTTTTACATGGAATTGTTTAATTATTTGTACTTTTCATGCCAGAAAATAAAAGTTCAGAATCTTACGACCTCGGGTGTGTGTGCGCACCTGCATGCGAGTGTTGGCGCCTGTGCTGTTGGCCCTGCTCTGTGGCCACTGTCCCTCTCTGGGCCTGGCTCTCATCTGGAGTCCCTCAGTCTCCCCACAGCACACATGTGATTGTGGGGTGGGAGACAGGCCCAGGCAGAAACCCAGACAGAAGCGGCCCCAGGGCTGGCTGTCCCGTGGTGCCAAGCTCCACTGTCCACAGGGCATCCCAGGTGTGAATCAACTCAGGTGAGACCCCAGCTGTGGAGCCAGCCTGATCAAGGAGAAGGCTGAACGGGATCTACATGCAGCCACTTGCCCTGCGTCCAGCCCTGCCACCCCAGCCCATTCCACACCAGAGCAAAGCAAGACAGACATAGCAGGTTGTGGGGGGTCACGTTTATTGTTTGGAGGTCACAGATTAAGTCATTTATCCCCACCAGGAGGGGAGGCAGATGCCCTGGGTGAGGGACAGGGTGGGGCCGTGGGGTGGGGGCCACCAGGGTGGGGGGTCCAGGGAAAGCAGTCTCCTTTTTAACATCTGTGGAGGCAGCCAGGGCCTGGGAACATGGCTGTGCCCCACCTGGCCCCTGAGAGCAGGGCACGGAGCCCCACCCGGTTCCTGCCCCGCAGGGACCACTAGGAGATCCTGAAGGGCAAGCTTTGATCCACAGACTGAGGGCAGGTGGGCAGCACCGCTGGGGGCCAGTTCCATGTCTTGAGGTTCTGGGGCCGGAGAGAAGCCAAGTGAGAAAGAGAGATGGAGGGCGACAGGTGAGGGGAGCAGGGATGCGGCCAGGGGTTTTCCT